CACCAACAGCATATATCTCCGGTCGGCTGGTTTGCATTAGTTCGTTGACTAAAAGGCCGCCTGCCGGCTCATTAGATATTCTGAGCTTAGTAGATTTACAAACGCCGAGGTCTCCAGGTGACGATGCCGTTATTGACTTCTTTGCATCAGCCTTGGTCTCTCCCTGTGAAGAAGTGTCAGGAACGAGTGAGGACGAATGGGAGGTGGGTGCAACAAACTCCACATACTCTGGCGGAAAAATGCTGCTGAGGAAGGCGGCTGGCCGGCCACATTGCGAAAAATTGCCCCCCGAGACTTGAGAAAAATTCGCTTCCACTCCAGTAGCGCTGACTACAATGTCAGCCCCGTAGCACTCACCATTGGTCAGTTCTACATACACTTTCCATGGTCGTGACTCCACCGCCTCGGGAGTGACTGAACAGGCGTTATCAAAGACGGCAGGTGTCTCTACAAGTTGTTTGGCAGCGAACTCTTCGGGCGACATAATACAATTAACCTGAACTTGATACACGATCTAAAAAGGAATATAACTCAGACGCTTTATTTCGATATTGCTTCAATCCCGTAGCACAGCCAGATAATTAAATGAATTAAGATAAAATTAATCAAACAAAAGCATGACTAAGATATAATTCCATTAGTAAAAGTAGGAAAAAAATTTTAAAGCAAGAAGATTTAAAAAAATATAAATATCAACTCAAAATAAAATAGAGGCAGTATATCATGCATAAATTAAACTAAATTCCAGGGAGTGCTTGATAAAGTATAACAGAGGTTTATGCAGTCTGAAAGTGGCCGACTCGAATGCAAGGACAGGGCTCGCTAATTATTTTGAAAGATTGTGCAATTCGAGTCCTGTTATAAACTCACTTATTTGATTTAGCTGAGAGAAGCAATGTATGAGTTGTGTTCACCCTATTTCGTATAAGATCAGGAAGGACTTATAGTTGCATTTTCCCACAATAATATGAGTAGAGCTGACGTTTCTATTGAATTCCACATGGCCTTACTTTCCTAAAAGGTGTTCTTATCCAGGATGGACTGCAGTTTCTATCTCGCTTAGGTTTTATCAACACGCCCAGCGGGAGTCTAACCCCGACAATGCAGCGTGTAATCTCCACACCTTAACCAGTAAATCAGCTAAGTGAGATGCTGTAGTAGCAAATATAAATTTGCTTAATCGACACTCCCCCCAAAGTATGTGCTGTGAGAAAATGCCAGGCCCTTTTTTGAAATCCAAATCCGCCCTGTGTTCCAAAGGCACTCGTGGCAATGTGGCGTAGTGGCTGTGTCGAGATAACATGTTGCACTGTCATGTTTTAAGTCCTACTAGAGGTGCTGATAAGACGAGGTCGAAACTGCAGTTCACCCCGGATAAGAACACCTTTTGGCGAAGGCTATGTGAAATTAAATGGAAGCGCCAGCTCTACTCATATCATTATAAAAGAATTCAATTTCCAGTCCTTCATACCTTCAAACGAAATAGGGTAAGTTCAACTGGTAGATGAAGATATGAAGACCAAGATGTTGTGGCCTCTGTTAGGGTTGCAGTCTCCTTTCGATTTATAGAAGTAGGTTGACCTCGTTGTCGCAACTTGGTCTTGTGTTCAGGAAGAATAAGTAGAACTACTACTACTACTAGTAGCTTTGAAAATCTACTCAAAAACGAAAAAAGATGTACTGTATCTGGATATGATCGCTAGTCTACTCCATAATAAGTGTAGCTAAAACTAGGCTACGGAAAAATTGACGCAGTCATATCTTTTGGAGATAGATAAATTGTATCAATTAATTAAATCTTTAGGATAACTAGCGTCCAAGGGAATGCTTTTAATGAGCTCTAAGCCATCCGTTTATGCCTATTTTTCTGAGTTGGTTGGACAATGTTTTGTTGAGTCAGGAATATTTATTCAAGATGGTACGTAAATGACGAAGACATTGTTCTGCTCAGAATACCTCCCTTGTCCTATTCAGCAATCCATCATGGTACAGGTTAAGAGAAAATCCATAAAAAACAATCGATTGTCTTGCAAATGCGACATTTCAAGACGTAAAGGATAAAGGGCTTAAGCCTGGCTTGCAATACTGAGCAGAGAATGGGAATAAATGCTAAAGATATATGAATACTTTAGAATTAAATTAAACGTAACGCGATTTCATCCACATTTGAAATAGGAAGGTACAAGTATATGCAGAGTTTACACTAATTCTAGTACCAACACTAAAGTATTGTTGGAAAAAGGGATTAGTGAATTATAATAATAATAATAGGATATTTCATGTAAAAAGAAATATCGACCGTCTATAATAGGTAAAAATCGGCAAAATCCCTTATGTCTGGAACGTTTATTAGAAATATATATATTAGTTCAGGAAGGATGAATAGTCCACTTACAATCTATTATACATAAAACAAAATAAAGCAATTAAATATTCCAGTTCTATCTAAATGGATTCAAAGTTTAAAAAATGTGCTGCACTTGCACTAACGTGCTAAAGTAATAAGCCGATTGATTAGAACTTATTTACATTCACCCGCATGTATGTAAGTATGCATAAAAATTTAACCCAAAGTTTGGTCCCGGTAATAAGGATAATTAAAAACTGGATCTCTGAGTAAAAGTAAGTTGGCTCCAAGAGCCAACACGGACGGTAGAAGCAGTTAACAGAGTTGACGTTTTGGCACGAAAAGGCAAAGCTAGACCATATAAGGTGGAATAGGACATAGAAATATTAGAAGATATTTTTGTGAATAGCGCAAATAATAACACTAATAAATATTGTAGTGTATTCAGTGCTGGGCATGAACAGAAGGCCTGGAGATAGTGGTAGAAGTCACCGCATTATAGTGAGGAATAAACTAGAAAAATAGATTAAACAGTGCATTTTTGAAGGTATTCTGAGACATGTGGTTTACAAGAATCGAAAGGTTGGAGCTAACAATCGAGCGCATAAAAAAGAATGACCAAATTGGCCAAATATTGATAAATAAGATGGTGCAAAGATCGACCTTTAGCTGATTTCTGACAGAACCATTTAACATGAGTTGGCCTCGTAATGACTTGTCCCGTGCCCAATCCGGTCCGAGTGCAGCGCCGAGCAGACTAGTGTCGAAAGAATCGCTTGGATACTTATCATGTGTCTTGGCGTCATCCTCGATATCGGCTTCCGCCCTCGAGTTGAAGTTCATCCTCCAGAATCTTGAACGAGAATCGGAATTTGCATTTTTTTCTGCAGAAGAGGTCCCAAGATTAACATATTGCCGCGTAAGAAGAAAGAATTTGGCGGCGGCACTGTCCAGATAGGCGGCACTGATGCTGGCATCTTTAATAGCCCAGATGATCTGGCAATTGGTAACTTCGTGAGCTACTTCAGTCGCGATGCCACCGTTGCCCACCAGGATCATACGTCTTGAATCTGCAGGTCCCCGAGAATTAGGATGGAGGGCACAAGACAAAAGGGATTTTATCAATTACCGTTATTATAAATAAACTAGCAATAATAGAGAGAAGGTTTTTCCTGGGAAGAGACGAGATAAAATATTAAAATTATAGCATAGCAAGAATTCGAAAGTTGAATGAGCAGAAGCTTTAAATATGAAACCATCTAGCTAAATATTCAGATCTAATCCACGAACAGCTAAAAATATATATTAGTAAAAACTGGGTTTCGAAGAATTCCTTAGTGGTATATTGTGACATGACTTCCCATTTCGAAGGAAAAGTTGGTTAGATGGAATTCGTGATGTGGTCTCACTGGAAACGGAAGGAGGATCGCCGCGTAGGAAGAATGGTGAATTGTGTCAAGGAGTCCTCGGCTCACTATTTTTCGACACCGATGAAAGTGTGCTAAGCCTTCGTCTCTACTGTGATAGACATCAGAGCAAGAATCCATACTTTATGAAATAGAGCGAAAATATACTAAACCAAGAGAAAAGGTGTCCGGCTGCAACCATAGTTGATTGTTTTATATTACTCATTTCACCATCCTAATGAGATATCCTACAATTTGGTTGACTACTTCAACCTTACTCTACATGCTTGCAGAGTAAGGTGGTGGCAGCTGTTTCGTTATGTAAATAAATTAATGTACGATCCTCTAATGTTAAATCATATTTAGACTTGTGCTAGTCTATTGTGTGTACGTAATGATCATGTCATGGGAAGTGTGATAGTCCCGTTTGCTGAGTATGGTACATCTGCCGCAAAAAGCATGAGGCTTTCGATTATGGAATATGCTGGATATAAGGAATAAAGATTGATAGTTGATCAAGAACTCGTTGTGCTTGAGTGATATACTGATTAAGAGAGAGGGTTTTGGGTACCCGAGAAAAAAATGAGATTCAACTTGTCAGTTCAGTGAGTTTTCTAGCCATATTCATATACGTTCAGAAGCTCTAATAAGTTCATCAACTCAACAAGACGAACAAGATTAAGCGGTCATTTCTATGCGTTTCCTAGATTCAATAGACCTTGAAGATCAGGTATGAAGAGCTATGGCTGATGTTTTCCTAACCTGCTTCTGATCATCTTAATCAGATGCACTTTCAGATACGTCATTGTAGGATGGACATGCCTACCCATTCAGTAAAGTGTGTATGGGTCCAAAATTATGACCACGCTAAACAAATGGCTATTACATGACACTGAATATACTAATCAAAATTTTTTAAAAGTTGCCATTTACAGAGACTTCCTGTCATAGCGTACGATTAGGCAGCCTTTCTAAATTAAAGAAC